TTTAGGAGTCCATAAAAATGTTAGACTCTATTGGGTCAGACATGTGTGGAGATCGGAGGAAAGACTATTAAACTGTAGATTAACGAGATGCAGATACCTGCAAATACCAAACGATCAAAAGCATCAAGATAAAATAGATAAGATATTTAATATTTTAGGTAACGGTGGACGATGAAAAGTCAGCTGATATAGAAAAAGTCAAAAGCAAAGTCGTTTTAACGACATTGGACCTAACATTGCAGACTACTATACTAAAACAGTCTTAGAAAGCCTTACATTTTTGAAATTATTTTACAGAATATCGATGTGTGTAACAGTAGTTATGTATACGAGAAAATTAAACACACGGGGACGCCGGAAGGTTTTAAACTGGTTTTCAGAGTAAAACATAATTTATAAACAACGATCGCCCCGATTTCATAAACGAATCGAATATTTTACGTAGTGATGAACGTGTATTTCCCCCATGTAGCCAAAGTGACCAGAAATCAACGAAAATATAGTATTGAAATTCGATTGTAAATTTTTAAGGACTACTGCAGTTGGTAATCTAGAAAATTTGTTCGAATGAAGTAAACCGTCCGGCAAAAAATTCGAATTTTTTTAGGGTCAGCGTGAAGAAAATCCGATAAAGACACATTTCAGTAAAACCTAATGGGTAACAATGGCTTCGCCGCAACATTTAAAAATAAACTACGTGCATCACCACGTTCACTCGTATACATTGTATATTGGTAAACGTAATATTTAATTATTGTCATGCACGCCAACTCCAACTTACCACGATGGCATAACTGTTTATCATACTTGGCATGCTGGTAGGCAGGTATACGCACAATTTCAAAACCTTCAAACTTGTCAGTATCTATTATATAACAAGAGTCATTCCGGCCATCGAGGACATCCCGTTTGAACTAACGGCGGTGACAGCGGCGAGAACACCAACACGGGCTATTAAACATGGCCGTCACCGATAACACTTTGGACAACTCTACTCTATTTCGTGTCACTCGCCCGAACGTTGAGTTACACGGCGCAATAACTGTGTTTGTTATGTTATGCGTAAACAAACGTTACGGTAAAACGTTTCTCTGCGCGTGTATTTCTTCCGCGTAAAATTACGTCAATACGGAATGACTTTACCTGTCCGAAAATCCGATTTTGTTTTCGACGCGCTTATTGTTCACACGTAGATACCTATATTTGGACAATAATAAACGCCGTTTTTCCGTGTTCGGATAATATTGCGCAGTCGAAATACCGGTTTCTCGCGGGAAAAACGTCGCAGATGAATATTTGTTATAATACAAAAATAAAGAGTTAATCATAACAGTGTATTATACTGTACGGTAAATGTACATACATTTTTAACCGTATGGAGTTGTAAACACAGTGTATAGAATACGATTTCCAAAAAAAAACCATTGAAATCGCATAATTATTAATAATTCGTGTTTTAATTTTCACCGGATGCGGTTCGCGCACGAAAATGCAATAATATATTACCTACTTCACTAGTGTGCCGAAAGTGCGGTGTAAAAAAAAAAAAACAAAAAACGCAGACCCGTTGAACGTGGTTCAAACGGACGTGTGGTAAAAACAATAATACAGGTATTGGAACGGCTGACAACGGGACGACTTGTGATTCGAATCGTCCGTCCCTGTGTGACGGATAATGTATACAGCGGACTGTCTGCAGGTATCGGGCGGTCGCGTCTTCGCCGGAGGGTCGTCAAAAGAATGAGCAAAACGCGTTTCTTCCGAAATAAATAAATGGACGCGCGCGCGTACAATGTACTCGGCTAAAAAAAAAAAGAAAAAACACAAAAAATAAAGAGAGAGAAAAATACATCTTCTCCGGGTTTTCGCGCGCCAGAGTCCATAAATCATCTTCGGTCGGGCGTGTATATAAGCCTGGCTGTGCACTTTGGCCGGTTTTTCGCCTCGAAACCCATCACCACCACCCCCGCTTTTCTCCCTATCCCCGGCGACGACGACACGTCCTAAAACGATTTCGGAAACAAATTTATAATGGACCCGAAAACGATTCCGGCCGTCACCGTCGTCGTCGCCGCACATTAACGCATATTATCGATACAACGATATTCCGCTCCGTCGCCGTCGCAGACACCGACGGGTTTGCGCGCCGGTCCCTATAACAACGACCGCGGTAGTGGTAATATGGTAATAACGATAACAACAATAATAATATTGTAAATTGTTTGCACACGCAGCCAAAATGCTAATAAGCGCCGGGACACGGTTTAATTGACGGCGTATAATATAATACGCGATACGGCTTCCGTATAGTTTAAATAACATTGGAGACGGTATTATTATAATATCGTCCGTGTATTATTGCGATGAGTGCGTGTCACATTGAATGCGTTTTTGACGGGTATAACATATTTGTAATATGCACTAAATACCTAGGTGCACGCTTAGTCTAAATAATGAGAACATTCAAATTTATCAGCAGAGCTACCATGACGTATGCATGCGAAATCTTGGCCGTAAACTTTAGAGGAAAAAAAAAATTGACAATAATGGTGAGAAAGTTTACAAGGAAGATAATACGAACTTGCGAGGTCCAAAAATTAATAACCTAACTCAAATACGTAAACGAGATAAAACGAAATATATATACAACACCTTTGGGGAACCAGAAATGACTGAAGAGTACTTTGTGCTAAAATACTAAAACGGCTTGGTAATGTACTAAAGTCTAACACGATAGCAAAAGAAATTCTTAATCGGCAACTACAAGGGAAGAGGCCCTTAGGCAAACTTAAGAAACAATGGTCTGATAAGTCTCAAAGGATTAAACAATACTAGGTGTGAAAAATTATTAGGAAGTATCATTGGATAGAGAAAGATGGAAGGAAGTGCGTGATGCAGCAATGAGCTTAAATGACACCTGAAGCTGAATGAATGAATGTAGTGTATTATCGTAATAGACAGAAGTTTGACGATCCACCCGCAATAAAAGGAACTATAAAAGAAAATCCGGTTTAATGGATTGATAAAATAGTTCCGTAATTCAGATTTTCATTTCAATTATTATACAATTTAATTATACTGCAGAATGAATCGGTAATGGACAAAAAGTAAATAAAATATTTTTAACAATAATTATACAGGTAATTTTCATGAAGAATCAAAATAGTCAAATTTAATATGATCACGCAACTTTTGTAATTTTTAAAAAACTAAATTTGTTTAATTATGTGGATCGATAACCACAATCCGAATAGGTCACTGCAAGCCGGATTATACGGACTGTCGCATTTAGGCCGATCCAAATCAGTCCAGAACTGTAATACTATGATTGAATAAGATTAATCCAAATAAAGTATTCAGCAGTAGTACGCTCGTACTTATAGAGTTTTTGAAAAAAAATCCGCTAATATGAAATTATGAAATTATAAAAGAGAAATAAAGGAGGAAAAATGGCAAATGCCAAGTCCGATGGATCTCATTTTAAAACAGAAAATTCCATTAGCGGGGCGATAGTATAAATCAAGAAACGGAATATTAAATTATGGTAAAACAATGTTTAAAATTTTAAGACGGAATGGTTGACAAAAATGAATTATTGTATGTGATGGCCACATATTGATTTTCTGACAACTGTAACTATCCGGTTTTTGCAGTTTTGGATCAGTTGCTTGCTAGGAGCTTGTTTTAGAACCAGAACTCATTGAAAATATCAAAACTGGTACCTCATTGGAACATAAATTTAAATATTTCAGAAACCGGGATCTTTATTTAAATAATTTGGGAAATGGAACTGACGGTGAAATAAATTTTGGGTATGTATAACGCACATCGGCTGATATTTAATTTCGACAAGTTTAATTAAATGAATAAAACATTTAAAATTGTATTCAAACAAAAGCAAAAAAAAATATTTTCAAACTTACCGGTTTTTAATTTACTGAAAGTCCTAAGGACTTTAAAAATGTTTATTAAAGAATGGAAACTTCTTAACAAAAAGAACTTTATTAAAAATTATTCTCACCCAAACTATAATATATTTATTGTATTCACCTCAACACTGTTTTATTTCAATATTTTAACCCACTTAAATGATATACAATTTTACCTAAATGCAAAAGCTTCTGCTGCAGGTTTTTGAACTTTCGACGTCGGAAGTCTAGCATTATATACCTGTATAGAGTGTGATTATTTTTTTCCTCAAGCAAGAATAAATATTTCTACAGGATGATCTTGGATTTTAACACGGTTTTAGAATAGGGAATACTGAAATATGAATGTTAGGCTATAATATTCAAATATTTAACCTTTTTAACGCACGCATGTGGTAGTATCACATACTTTAAAAAAGAAAATATATATGCCTATCTATATTTAACACTACAAACGAATAACCTATTTTTTCATGCACCTTTGATAAATACAATTTGACCTATCGCTTTGTATTACTTGTGATACAGCTAGTGATAAGTTGATTAAAAATATAATTTTTTCTCAATTTTTAAAAAAACTTATATATTATAATAACACATTAACATATATTATAATATGTATATATATATATAAATATATAATTTAGTGACAATCATCAATTATATTGTTTTTCCTATAATGAACAATAGTAACATCATTACTTCACTTTTAAAGTCATACGTTTAAATGTTATAAAAATCGAGAAAAATTCGTATTTTTTACTATTCAATTTTATATAGAGATAGAAATAAAGTCTATATAACAATAATTAGGATATGTTCGGAAAAAATAAGCCTAATTGAATTTGGTTTTAAAAGTAAGTTGCGATCGCAAAGGAAGTATTACAAATTTGAAATTTATCCTGCGATCTATACAGATATTTATAAGTATTATTCAGTAAACCGGATTTCGGTAGAAGGTCATCGTACCAAAATATTTATAACGTTAAGTTAAAGTATGACCACCCTGTATATTATGTTCGTTCTTCGTAAAGCACAGAATTTAAAAATAATATTCAGCCGGTAATAATACTGTATATATAAATATAACTATGTCTAATATTTTATATTGTTTCGCGTCAAGGCTCTTTACGTGTGGGGGGGGGCTGTTTTTTTTTCGTCCACAAAGACGAAGACTTCCCATACTATATAATAGTGGCGCGCTACAGTTAACGAAACTTTTTTTCGTGAATCTAATGTGATATTTTCAACTTTACACGAGTTTTAACGACCAAAAGCTGCAACAGTCATTGCAGATCTGCTCGACGGCGAGGTGAAAAAGTATTTTTTTTTCCGCCATCGTGTACAAGTATATATTTTTTTCGTTCTTAAAAATAGTACAAGATTAAACGAGATAAACGATAAAATATCACGTTCCCGGCACTCGGCTGGATTCCCGGTCGGATTTTAACGGGTTTATAACATTATCGTGCGTCTTTTACGACGCTGCCGAGCGCCAGTATTTATACGCGTGCACATTTCGTGCACAGTAAAACACGAAACAAACACAATAATTAAAACGTGTAGACATTTGACACGTTGCCATTGCGGTTGTGGTTAAAACCGTGGCGGCGCTGTCGTGTTTCCGCGAAATTGTTAGGGATTATTATTAATATTATTATTATTGCGAGGTGTCCGCGAAATAAGATCGTTTTCGATAAATACCCGTACAATATCGTTCTCGGATATTTTGTAGACAGTGTATTATATTATATTGTTATCGATATTGCCGTGTAAAAAACTGCATATTATCGTAAAAAAAAAAAAAAATAAATAAATAAAACGATATTGCTGGCGGCGTATCGATGTTTTAGAGGAATGTTGAAATGGAGGACGCACGTCTGGTAAATAGTAATTTAATTTACACCTTTCCGCGGGGATTCGCGTTTAAAGCGATCCCGATCGAAGCATTATCGGCCGTACTTGTTCCCTTCTGATCAAGGTAATCCAAAATAAACAAAAATTATACACACAATGGCCGGTTTTCACCAATTTATTACAGACAAAACTACATGGGGAATCATAAAAATGACTTCTCGATAGTTGTGTATTGACCAACTACACCGTAAATTCTACGAGAAAGTTTCAATAAACTATGAAGTTTTCGATGGGAACGAGATTATTGATAAAAATGTGAAATACAGGTACATAAACATCACAGTAAAACCAAATTCGCTTAGCTCGTATAAATCGTAATGTAAAAAAAAAGACCGTAGTTTCGGTCGTTTTAGATTCTAAGTGTATCCTCTGGATTTCATGTCGTTGATGGAAAATTCAATATCTATTTAATATTTGTTACATTTTTGTATTAAAATTTTCTATTAAAATAATATAATGGTGCATATGTGAACAAAACACATTTTTGCGTAGTACTAATCGACCAGCAACACGTGGTACCGAATTACAATTTTTCACACGGTTTTAAAATTAAAAAAAAAAATGTATATATTATATAAAAAATACTGCGTCAGAATTTAGTAGCTGCGCGCAATAAAACGTTATAAGACGTATACGATCCGAGAAAAAAATTATAGAAGAAAAAACTATTTTTTTTAATCTAGCAAAATTTTAACATAAAAATGCACGTCAAAACGTGTCTGCGTGCTCCGTTCTTTACGATTTCCGTCTTGGAAAATAATGAGAATTTTCAATTTCTTGGAACCCACGGTACTATACAATACTCGCGCAAACGCACGTAAACGATTCAAATCCTTCGGGTGTGCGCACGTATATTTCCGCGTCGGGTAATACACTGTATACGTTATAATATATTTGCTTCATCCGGGGAATGGAAATCGACGAGAAATCGCATCGGAGCGTCAGAATAACAATTAATCGTCATTACGACAACAATACTCGTATTATATAAATCGACGGGGCTCGTGTAGGTTCGTACACTTAAAACACTCCTACAGTACGCAGACAAATTTCATCACCAGAGACGAATTTCTTCCCCTCCCCCCCCCACCTATTTTTTCATTCATAGAATTATTCTTTGGAAAAAAGTTAATCATCGCCGAGTACTATAACAACACACTGCGTTCGTAAAAATATTAAAATTCTTGAAAAAAATAAAAACAACTGTGAAATACTTAAATTAATAACTTTTCGTACCCCGTATATTCCCGACTTCTTACATGCTATTTTTGTTTTTGTGTCAAAATAATTTTTTTCGACAGAAATCGTATTCCAATCAAAAACATTGTATGGACTTTGTTGATCTTGATGGTGCATTGAGGAGGTTATTTACTGATTTTCCACGTATACTAAACTATATTTTTCTTAACAAATGGGAAACACTGTCAATTGTTTATATACATTTTGTAAACTTATGAGTAACCTCAGTTGCAGGCAATAAGGGGAAATTACTACGAATAATATGCAGTTCAGAATTGTCACTACATACAAATTTACATTAAATTAGCGTATACTATATTATAACTCCTAAAAAAGTGATACGCTCATCATTATTAGCTTTTTTTTTTCTTTTAATTTTAGATTCTGAGTGAAGCGAGAAATAAACTGGTTTTCCAATGGCATCTATTATTTTTATAATGTGAACAATTTTACTACCGGAAATATTGCTCCGATTTACAATGATAGCACTTTTTCTGAAAACAAATCTGACTGGGAAGGTACTTTAAGGAGGTCATTTTTTGATTTTCCCAGGAGTTATCCCTATAAATGAAAACAACCCGGGAAAAACGTAAGAAAAACGGAATAATAGTTACAACATTAAACAAATATTATCAAAGAAAATGTTTAATGCATACCTATGTAATTATTTCGCCATAATATGACACATAATATTATATTGTTTGCAAAGCAACACTATCAACCGAACCCCGCTCAGAATCATTTTTTTCGTTAGCAAAAGTTTATCGTTACGTACAGATATACATTAAATTTCTCCTCTATTACCTTCCCAATTTCTCACCTTCAGTGGCCCACCCACGTACGAAATATGTCCTTTTTTTTTTTTTTAATTATTATTATTTTACGAGTGTAAAGTATTCGGGATTTCATTTCGCGTTCGTCCGTCGGTATTTGGAATCTAAATAATATAATATTATTATTATTACCATCAACAGTGCCGTCACGGCTGCCACGCGCTTCGTTGTCGTCACCTTACCGCCCACTTGTTCGAGTAATAATAAACGAAACTATTAAATCTCGTTAATATAAGTTACAGACCGTATTATACACTATTGTATACGCGTTTATAACGTCTAAAACGCGCGGTGGCGTCGAATAAATTATGTTTTGTCTACGAGACTACGACGTGGAAAGACGAGTGTATACACACCGTTTCTTTATTATTATTATTATTATTATTTTTTTTTTTTTAACGGAAAAATCGCACTCCTTTTGTTTTATTTTTTTTTTTTTTTTATTTCGACGAAAACGTTTACTTTTAAGTGCGCTGGCCCGCTGTTCCGTCGGATTCTAAAAAATCAATACCACCATAATACACACAATTAGTACGAGTGAACGATATCGATTTTGTCGGTTATTTATACCGCGATGACGTTTAGAAATCGACCGAAATGTAACGTCGCCGTAAATATTTAGACAATGAATCTATAATACCATTTGCCTTGTTTTATGCGAGTTGCGTTCTGCCAATATAATGTTATTGTACGTTTGGGAATATCAATCATTAAACTTTCGTTAAAAGTTAAGACTGTGACGATATTATACATAATAAGCAAATATAACTTATTAAAATAAGGCAGACGGTGCATAGGCGTGTCTAGCGTCTAGAATATCTGTTCGCAGACTGACTGAGAAAAATTACACGGGAGTGACAGAGTAAGCACGCGAAGGTTCACCCGAAATAGACGCGATCTTCGTCCATGCATAGAATATTTGTCTAGACTTTTCTTCCTGAAATAATTTATTGATTAATACATTTTGAATTGTCAATATTTCGTTGGCTATAATATTATAACCTTTTTTGAAAATATAAAACAGATAATTTGAGCACGGTTTAAAAATATTATAATTACGTCACTAAACGAGTTTTATTGAGATGTTTACAATATCTTAACATGACTGAATCCAGTGGCGTACACAGGGGAGGGGAAGTTAAGGGTTGTATCCCTCCAATTGGTTTAAAATACAAAAAAAAATTTGAGTAATCTAATGTCAAAATACATAAATTTCAGCCGAATAACCAGGAAAAACTTAACATATTGATTAGAAATGGGCCTTTTTTAGAATCCGGCTTTTAAATTACTAACTCCTACATTCAATTTGGGTAGAAAAGAAGAATTTATGATTTATTGATGATTCTTATTTACTACATCCCCTCCCGTTGATAAATCCCCGGCACGCCACTGACTGAATCCAAAAAACCTGACTGTTCGGTGCTTCGTGCTGTTGAATATTTTAATTGCTCTACGTAATTTTTACGGATGTCATATTATTATTTGAATCGATTTTTGTTAGAAAGCTAGGTTAGGTCAAGTGTTAAATTTCTTGTTAAAATCGTTTGATTTTAGTTTTCTGTTCTTTATGTACAATGTGTCCATTATACCAATGGTGTTTTGTTAATAAGGCGTATACGACTAATAATCGAAAAATACTTTTTTCGTATCGGAAAAATCAGAAAAATAATGAGCATAAATTGGTAAAAGAGCGGATTTGAATACAGACAATTAATTTGGTAATGTCAACTGATAGATATTCAGGATAGATATCCAGGCGCCCTTTTAAAATATAATATTAATTCAACCTTTATTTGTTAAAAGGGTGTATACCGTATTAAATAAATGTATAGTTTGTGTACAAAGTATTATGTGTACGAGTAATTTTATCGTTGTTCATGATTAAATTTAATCATTAAAAACTGTTTTGCTGGTTTTTTTTTTTTTGCTTCCTAAAAAAAAAGTGAATTTGAGAAACGGCCTTTTAACAAAACACCGTCGATACATGTTAAAACTGCACACGTGTGTATAAATACTGAGTACCGTGCACATAAAAAACATTATTTACATAGCCGCCATATTTTGGAAGTTATGCAGTTTCATATCATTTCTCGAAATTTGTTAATATTGTTGAAACGTACGTCCTTTTAATAAAAAGTGATTCATTTCTATTATTGATATTAACTCGAAATGCTGTAAAAGGCTGATTTTTTTTCACATTCGTTAGACGCGTAAACACGCTTATGCCGAACAGAGAGTTGGGTGAAATCTGAAAAAAAAATATCTAACATTATACTGATATTA